ACTCCGGACCTCAGCCACATCAGGGCTTACGAAGCAAAATTCAGGATGGGGTCCACGCACCACTAGAGGGAGCCAGGGGCATGGGTGTCCGCATGTCTTAGGGCCCCCAGATCGGAGGAAGGACTGAGGAACCCCCACAACAGCTGTAGTCGCACGTTTGCATGTTTGCACCTTCACACACAGCACAGCCACCCCTGCAGCATCCTCAGACACAGCCGACAAGGACATGTCCGGAGGCAGTGGCTCCTCCGGGAACCTGCAGCCTGGGCAGCGCAGGGCACCCACACAGAGCCACACGTGGCTGAGCACCCAGGGAGGGGCCCCAAGGGGTGCCAGACCCACCAGGGCCGTTCTCAAAGAAGTGGAGGTAAGTATTTAGGTGAGGGACCAACGTGGTGGCAGCAGGGTAGTTGGTGACATTGGCTTAATGATTTTGCCACAACTGGGCCAGCCACTGGAGAATCACAAAGTCCCAGTTGCTGGGTTTCTTCAAGAAGCAGGCGGCTCTCAATGGAGGAAAACTTTTAATTATACTCATTGAAATTAGCAGTGCCTCTGGCTGGGGCAGTATGAGTGCAGATTGGAGTCCTACCCGAGGAATGTTAGCATAAGAAGGACCCCAAGGGTCACAGAGTTCAGCTCCTCAGCCCCTGCCTGACTCACGCTTCCCGTAAGGGAAAAGTGCGGACTCCACTTCTGAAGGCTTCATGATCCAGGATAACCATCTAGTAGTCAAAGAAAAGCTAAGGCTCAACTCAAAACCAAATCGACAGCATCGACTCACCACAGCCCCAAATGAGTTCTACTTCTGCCCGCCGATGATAGAGCCCCCCACAACCACGAGAAAGTCTCCAACACTTTGCATCCCTGACAGACAGCATCAATTTCCAGACCAGGCAGGTTCTTCCCCACCTGATCCAGAGGAGCAGCGAGAACTAGAGCTCCTGATAATAACTCGGAGGAAAAATATCCCTTCTCCTTCTCCGTCTCCGTATCTTCATAAAGAACTGCATATGCTATTCTGGACGCAAAAATCTATTACCAGACATGTTCTAAATACGGATCTGTGTGAATGTATAGATTAGACTAAGCACACAACAGAAAAACAAGCTGATTGTTCATCCCCTCCCCTCCCTCTGCAGGAATTTGGCTTGAGATAAAGGTTTGATCTTTTAGCAATAACATTCTCTGAGTCCAACTGAGCGCGGCAAAGGGAAATAAACACGTCGGCTTCTGAACCAGGTTTTGCCGTGGGTTGACACAGCCCCTGACAAAGGATTAACCTCTTGTTGCCTCAGGCCCCTGCTCGACAAAAGATGACCCATATTTTCAACCCAAACAATTTCAGTACTTAATTCCTAATGGCCACAGAGCATGGTGTTAAGATGTGAATGTTTAACTGAGGTGGCACTTTCACTACCCGTACTGTTTTGGTGCTAAGTGTGCCTCCAGCCTTCACAGTGACACGGAAATTAAGTGTCCCTTAAAAGGAAAAAAAGAATGATGTGTGCATGGAAGAAACCCTGTTTCACAGAACACACCTGTCGTGCCTTGGCAAGTCTGAGGAGGCAAATGTTTTCAGTTGTCCTTCAGGAAAAGTCTTGGTTTCTGGTTAATAGACCTGTCTGTCACCCAATAGCGAAATTACCATCCTAGTCCCAGTTAGGATCCCTTTTGTTGCCTGTGGCCCCATTTTTTTTTCAATAAAAATTAAAGTAATTAGGAAATAATTCAAGATCCAATGTCCCCCAAGTTGCCCAAGGTCTATATGGTGCCCAAGGTCTAAAAATGACTGAGAGGGCCTGTGAAGTAAGGAGCAATGCGCCTGCTGAATTACAGCTTCCATTTTAGCTGTTTGGGAAGGTTTGGCTTAAACTGTCTGCGACAGAGGCGCTTAACTCGGGCTGAAACAAGTCAGGTTCCTGACCATTTGTCCTACTGGAAATCAATGCCTGAAAAGAGAAATTTCTAGAATTCCTATGTAATTCATAAATTTCAGAAACAACACATATTTACTGAGACTCAACACTGTTTACATTTGGAAGAAGACATTATTAGTAGGATAATGGTGGCTGCTGTAGAAAATAAATAAATCCCCAGATTACACTGGCTTACCTCTGGCTTATATATCCATCTAGTGCACGTGTCCTTGGTCTGTGGGCAGCTTTCAAGGCCTGAGCCTCCTTCCTTCCTTCCTTGACTCCAAGTCCTCGGCATCCAAACCACAGATGGAGGAGGAGAGGGTGAAGATGGCCACTGACTCCCTAACAACTATGGCTCAGAAATGACAATGTGGCTTCTGCTTACATTCTAATGGTGAGAACTTCTCACAAGACCCCAACTGTGTGGAAACGAGGCTGAGAAGTGGGGTCCCCAGCTCAGCAGCCATTTCTTAGGGACAGGTGTTTTCTGTGGTTGGGAAAGGCTGAACTTCCGTGCACATATAGCCATCACTGCCACGTGGTAAGGCACAAAACTTATTTTTTTTTTTTTTTTGAGACGGAGTCTGGCTCTGTCTCCCTGGCTGGAGTGCAGTGGGGCGATCTCCGCTCACTGCAAGCTTCGTCTCCCGGGTTCCCGCCATTCTCCTGCCTCAGCCTCCTGAGTAGCTGGGACTACAGGCGCCCATCACCACGCCCGGCTAGTTTTTTGTATTTTTAGTAGAGACTGGGTTTCACCGTGGTCTCGATCTCCTGACCTTGTGATCCCCCTGCCTCGGCCTCCCAAAGTGCTGGGATTACAGGCGTGAGCCACCGCGCCCGACCGGCACAAAACTTTTCAGCAGTACACCTGACAGTGGCATCAGTCCATGACTCTGGGGCCCTGCCAGGGATCAGGAGTTGCCTACTTTGCAAGGAAATCGATTTATTTTTTAAACAAGTCTAATCGTGAGAAAGTTCTTATGTTGGGTTATAATATTTCATCATGCAACTTCCACCTGTTGATCTTAGTTCTATCCTTCTAGAATCATACAGAATAAGTCTACTTCATCTCCTTGACAGGCCTTCAAAGGATTAAATATCCACCATGTGTCCCTTAAATGATCAATTTTCTAAGCATCTGCAGCTTCCTATTGATTTTCATTTCACTTATTATACTAAGATACCCATGAGACTATTCTTGGCCTTCTTAAAATGTTTAGCCAAGAATGAAAACAGTTCATCAGGTGAGAAGAATCAACTACAGAGGGACGAGATGAGAGAGGTCCAGTGCATCTCATTCTGAAGGCTGCTGACATGGAAAACCATTCTTGGGGAACCCTTTTTACTTTCTCGTCAGCAGAATGGTGGTGGGAAGTGGAATGATGGTAGCCCGGGGCTCCTGGTGATGGGTCTTCAGAGAATAGAAGCCCTGCTATTTTTCTGCCTTCCTTTCCATAGCATTCTTGCAGTGTAGACAGTTTCAGTGCAAGGGCTTGTTTCAGATCAATGCTTTTTAAAGCTAAGGAAGAAAAATATGGCTAAACTAAAATGATAATAAAGAAAGCTCCAGATAATATGGCCTTTTATGTAGGCCTTACATCACATGAGCCATGCTTTAGAGCAGTCCTGGAGGTGAGCATAAATTAGACACAGAATCTTTTTATTTTAAAAAAAATTAATAAAGTTTAGATTAAATATTAAAGAGAAAGGCTATAGCCCATTCCTCCTGGATGAAGGCTGAGAAAAATGAGGTTTGTTCTGCCTCTTCCCTTGGGGCCGGCCTGGTGAAATAATCTTTATAAAAATATTTTTAAGTTTTTAAAAAATATTTTAAAATTAATTGTTACAGTTAGAAATTGCATTATGTGTAAGAATATTTTACGCTGGCAATTTGTCTCTATTATATTTTATTTTGCTCTAGTTTGATGAGAGAAAGGAAAAGTGGAATTGTGAGCAACCTTTTAATGTGGCTTAGAAACTTAATGTGGAAAGGGTACTAATATTGTAATTACTAGTTTCCATTTATCAGCCACAGTTGTCTTTGTCGCTCCTGCTATTTAAAGTTACTGTTCACATACTGTGGCTAATTCCCTTTGTTAAATTTCACAGTGAATGCAGCTTCCTGGATATTTGTTATTGCAGTCCTATGGATGTAGGCTTCTCAGATAAAGGAAAAGCTGGGTGCATCCATCTGTAGGCAAATTAAAAATGAGTTTAACCCCCTGGCTTCCACGGCTCTTTCCCCTTAGGCAAAATGTGTCCCATGCTTCTGACTGACAAGACATAAAATCGGAGTAACATATATGTTTCATTTTTAATGGAATTTGGTAGAACATCAGAAGCAACTGCTTCGCTAGGACCCTGCATTAATACAAAGAGACCACCTGGGGAGGAGGAGGAGGGGCCATGGCTGGAGCAGAGGATTATGGAGTTGGAAGAACAAGAGAAAAACAGTGAAATACTTTTGAAGTTGGAAGGGAAAAAGTCTATTTGCATTATTTAAGGTCTATTTCCTAACAAATGATTAGTTCGTTTGCAGCTGGGTTGGAGTTTTCTGAATCATGGTTATACCAGCTCCTTATACAGGGAGTCAAGGAGAAAGAACAGTGGGAAACGTGGAAGATGGTTTAGAGGGAGGAAAGAATTTTTCTCCATTTGCCTACTGTTCACAGTATTGCCACTAATTGGAGTCTGTTCTTAGAAGAAACAGTGTACATTTAGTTTCCTCTTATTTTTTTCTCCCATTGTAATTTTCAGAGAGAGAGAGAGAGAGGGAGAGAGAAAGAGAATAAGAAAACAATCAACCCTTTCTTTCTGTTCCTATCAGTCTAATTCTGAACACATAGAAAAGGAAAGGTTTAACACACATAATAATGGATTTTGCTTTGTCACTGGGGATTATAACATTTATGTATTCATTCAGCAAATATTTATTGAATGCACCAGGCTCTATTTTATAATAGATTCTGGGGTAAAGTCGTGGAAATTCAGGGCAGATCACAGCTGCCCAGGAGCCATTGTCCTCTGCAGGAAGGCTGTCAGAAACCACAAAACAAAAACAATGCCTAGGAAGGGGACAAAGCAGGGCAGCTAGAAACAAAACCACAAGCATGACCTGGTGACTGCCCAGGGAAAGCGTCTCGGGAGGTGGCCTTTGACTTGAGGCCCCAGTGATGTAAAGGCTGAGGGAAGAGCAGATGCTGAGACTCCCAGCCAGGATGTGCAGCAAATGCTGGAGGAACCCAAGGAAACCAAGGTAGTGACCTGGGGCGCAGGAGGGCCTGCAGGTGGAGGAGGGGGGCTGCGGGTGGAGGAGGGGGGCTGCAGGTGGAGGAGGGGGACCTGCGGGTGGAGGAGGGGGGCTGCAGGTGGGGGAGGGGACCTGCAGGTGGAGGAGGGGGGCTGCAGGTGGGGGAGGGGGGCTGCGGGTGGGGGAAGGGGGCCTGCAGGTGGAGGAGGGGGGCTGCAGGTGGAGGAGGGGGGCCCGCAGGTGGAGGAGGGGGGCTGCAGGTGGAGGAGGGGGACTGCAGGTGGAGGAAGGGGGCCTGCAGGTGGAGGAGGAGTCCTGTAGGTGGAGGAGGGGCACCTGCAAGTGGAGGAGGGGGGCCTGCAGGTGGAGGAGGGGTCTGCAGGTGGAGGAGGGGCACCTGCAGGTGGAGGATAGGAGCCTGCAGGTGGAGGAAGGGGGCCTGCAGGTGGAGGAGGAGTCCTGTAGGTGGAGGAGAGAGTCCACAGGCCTGGGATGAGCCAAAGCTCAGTTATAAGTCCGCAGAGGGCTCTATTTATTCATATATTTCTGGTTTTAAAAACACAATTGATGTTAAACATACTCAAAGGTATAGAGAATGGTACCACAAGTAGCCAAGAGGCATTGCCAAGCTCCCACAGTCAACCACTCCTGAACCTCCTCTTTCATCCACATCCCACCCAGCCCTCCCCAGCCCACTCAGATTTTAATGCAAATTCCAAATATGGTTTCATTTCATCCATAAATAATTCTGCATGTGTCACGCGGGAACATTGAAGAATATTTTAAGAACAACAAATTAATATGATCCAATATTGTGTCAATGTTTAAAGGTTGATGTGTGTATAATTTTTGTTTCGGTTTGTTTGAATCAGGATCTCAATAAAGTTCATATATTGCAACTAGTGGGTATTTGGCATAAGTCTGTTTTGATCCATAGGTTTCCTTTCACTGGAGGTTTAAAGTAAGGGAATATCATGATTTGTGACATTTTTTAAAAACACCACTATAGCTCTGTGTAGATACCAGGGAGCAGGGGGCACGTGAACTGAGCAGGAGCCCATAGGAGGCCATTGCAGTGGTCCAGGCTGGGGGTGAAGGGGGTCTGGGACCACAGGAGAAGGAAGGAATTGGAATAAATATAGGACTTGGTTGTTGACCATCTCCTATTCTAGTTAGAGCATACTGGGCTTATTTTTTAGGTCTAGGAAACTGAGTTTGAGAGTATGAATGTATACATGTGTAAATAATAGACCAACCTATGAATCAAATCTGTGAAATTAACACACACATAGAAATGTAAGTATATTAGAGATAAAAATATGTACACAGCATGCTTAGATAGCAATGAAGGAATATAGAAAAAGAAAGTTTCAAAAGTTATAAAAAAATTATGCCCTTTGTTCATATGATCCCACATTCCCTGAAATAAGGTTAATCAAGTTGCCCAGTTTTGATTTCCTCTCTAAATTGATGACTTCCCTTGAGATTTGCATGTTTTAAAGCCACAGTATAGTCTAGTAGAAATTAATTATTTATCCCCGAGAGACAATATAGCACGTGGCATTACAAATAAGTTCTGTTGCTGAAGGAAACCTAAGAGATTAACTGGGAATGAATGAGAGACCCAAAGTACTGCTTCTCAGCCATGTGCCCCGTGTTGGCCCAGGGGCTCTGAGCACACTGCGCAGACTCCCCAGAGTACGTGGACAAGCACGGCCTGCTGCCCTGCGGCCGGATCTGCCCCAGCAAGTCAGGAGCGGGCCTGTTCTTTTCACTCTAATGGTTTTGCATCTGCTCTGGCCAAAATGTTTTTTCTGCCTTTCTTTCATCTGCGCTGTGTTGCCTAGCTTTCCTGCAGAGGCCCCAGTGTGGCTCTCAGAACGATCACTCTCTTATTCTGTTTTGTGTTCCTTTTACCCATGGGCAGCTTTTTTTCACACTGAGTGTCCCTGTGAATGGAGTGTGTTGCAGCACCTGGAAGCCTCAGTCAGAGAGTCGGCCTCTGCTTTCACACAGTGCCCAATGCCGGTGTGGGGGATGACTCACGCAGATCACCCTGATGAGCCTGAAGTTGGCTTTTTATGTCTGGCCGTTGTTCAGAGCTTTAAACATTGGGAAGGGGGAATGAGAGGGAAAGAGGGAGAACAAAACAAACATGACAGGAAAATGGCAGAACTTCCATTCATTATCACCGTTATTTAGCATGAAATGTCAACCAAGTCCGAAGGGCTTTTGGGTGCATGAATAAACAGGTCGGCAAGTAGTTATTTTTATTCTATATGTACATCTTGTGCTCCACACTCAACAGTGACGTCAGCGTTCTTGCTTCACATCAGCTGTCCTTGCTCATGGTGTTCTCAAGGGTGTGAACTCAGCTGAAGACAAGGGTTTGTGACTGCCGTTCCTGTCACGCTGAGCTCACTTACAGTACGTCCCCTGGCTCAGCAAAGCTCGCAGCTACATTGTCAAGTGTGTTGATGCACATTCCCTTGGGTGTGGACTTTGGATTAGTCCAAATGACAATTAGTCACTGTCACGGGCGCTAGACAAACCCAACATCCCTCTTCGTGCTAAGCTGTTTGCCTAGGTTTGCACTCCTTTCAGGAGTTTCCCGGCTCTGTCTACACAGTGCCAAATATCTAGACCAGAGTTGAAAAATGTAATTTAAAACCCCAATGTTTGTGTTGCAAGGAAAAAGCCCAGAGTTCTTTATATTTGGATAAATTAGAGAGAGAGAAAACCTTTGCCCTCAATTCTATCAGAATGGTGTACCTGAAGATGCTGAAAATATGCTGAGTTGAATCAAACGGTTATTGATACGATCCATTGCACTCCCCAGTAGAGTGTGTAGATCAATAACTCAACACAGATTCTGTTCTTGTATGATCTTCTCTATAGTGTTGCTTCAGATAGCATGACCTTTTATATTCTCAGGATAAATGTTCTATACACTTAAAGCATCACTATTTCCTATAGACAAAGTAGGGTAATTAATAATTACTATTCTGAATGACAAGCATTTTGCTGGTGTGCCAGCCACTGAGCTAAGCTTTTAAGGAGTTATCTCACTTAATCCTTTCAATAAGCATTATGGTATCTCCATTAAATATATGAGGCATCTGAGACTCAGAAAGTTCAAATAACTTGTCCAAAGTCACTCAGCTGAATTATCAAAGCATGACTCACACACAGCCTATATTCTTACATCATACTGTCTTCTGGAAAAGTTGGACTCACTTTAGTCCAAGCAGTCCTGGTTCTATTTTATGGTCATTAAAGCTGTGTGCGTTTGCAACCCCCAGTCCCAACTCCCCGTGTGTGGTGTGTGAGAGTATGTGATGGATAGCTATTGTTTGGTTAGGTTCATTTCCTTCTGTTCAATTTCCAACTGCTATGCGTAATAGCATTTCCTTATTCTAGAGGGAAGCAGAAGCTCGGAAAGAACGCGAGGACAGCTCATTTGCAGTGCTTCCTGTTGAGGGAGCAGGAAGTGTGCAGGAGTTGTGAGGAAGTCTGCCAGAAAGAGATTCCTAGAGTTGAAAGTGGGGAACCATCGGGCCCAGCGTGGAGTCCACAGCTGAGCTTAGAAGCCCATAGGAAATAGATGCCTAAACTTCCAAGTTTCCCTTCCTACAATTCTATCGACAGAGACTCTACAAATATGTGACAGGCTGAACTCTAGAACAACCTTTGCTTATAAAAGTCACAGAGCCTAACCATACCATGCAACAGCGCAAGGCCAGCCCATAGCAGGTACAGAGAAACCAGCAGAAGGGGGTAAGAGTGAGTCAAAGGAACTCATCGCTGTTTCTAGACTCCCGGAGTACTGCCCATGGAGACTTTTCTCTTTACAGTAAAGTCACTGAGAACAAGGGACCAGATGTCAGTTTGATTCGAGAAAGAGAGGTAGGGCAGAATGATATAGGACATTATGCAAGTAAAGTAGAAAATAAAAGTTTATGCAGGATGTGAAACAGCAGAAGATCTATAAAGGAAGCTAAAATCCAACTTGCAGGAATTTGTGTTAGTGAGTGAACGGTGAGTGTTTTGAAGTGAGTTATTTGAAGATCAGCCTCGTGAATGCCTGCCTAGTGAATACTGGGCTGGAAGACATTCCCTCAGGGCCTCCTTGACTACAACGTAACTGGATGTTTCCATATTGACCAGCATGGACTAACTCACAGTAGAGCAGACCAGAACCCGCCACACTAGAGCATGTTCATCAGTGACCCTTTTCTCCTATGCATCTGCCCTGCTTTGCTTGTGCTCATATGCATATCCACACAGGCAACAAATATTCATTGACCATCAGCTCGGTGCCAGGCACTAAGGTTGATGAGGATGTGTTGGTGAATAAAACACGTGGCTTCTGGAACTGATCATCCTGCAGAAGGATTTAAGCGCACTTTCTAAAATCTAAAACAAAAAACAAAACAGCAGCAACAACAGAAACTCCAGCCTCCCTGGATTCCACACTCCCCTCTCATTAATATGCTATTGCTTGGCTACTGATATGGTCTGGCTGTGTCCCCACAAAAATCTCATCTTGAATTGTATTTCCCATAATTCCCATATATCGTGGGAGGGACCAGGTGGAGATAATTGAAGGATGGGGGCAGTTCCCCCATCCTGTTCTTACGATAGTGAGTCAGCTCTCACAAGAGCGGATGGTTTTAGGGGCCTTCCCCCTTTGCTGGGCACTCACTCTTCTCCTCCCTGCCGCCATGTGAAGAAGGTTGTGTTTGCTTCCCCTTCCACCATGATCGTAAGTTTCCTGAGGCTTCCTCAACCATGCTGAACTGTGAGTCAGTTAAACCTCTTTTCTTTATAAATTACCCAGTCTTGGGTATGTCTTTATTAGCTGTGTGAGAACAGACTAATACAGCTACCCTTCTCAAATGTGTTGCTTTTGAGAAGGAACATTTCTCAAAAGAGTCATTTATGCTTTCTGGGTCCAGTTATTACAGTTTATCAACTTCCTGCCTCTCCGAACCTGACCCTCAGGC